CTGCGCTGGCGCGCGCTGTCTGGCACGCGGGTCACTGGCCGAGGCGTTGCTGCCGCTGTGTGCGGCAGCGCGGCCACGGTCGACGCCTTGCCGACCGTCCGGCAAAATTATCCGGCCAACCTGACTTATACTAACATGCTATGACCATACACGATCTATAAACTGAATTGCACAAAGAAGAACTAAACTTGTTGAATGACCATCGCACGCCTCCGCACGCTCTCGCTACGTGCGAGGGTGCGGCCTACGGCCTTCGGTTCCTTTCCAACTTACCAAGTACCTTGACTGACTTAACTTAACTGAAATCATCATTTAAACCCTGGTCATGCATACTGAACATAAGAATGACCGTGACGGACGCCCGTGCGCCGCCGACGGCTATAAGCCGTCCCTCGGCCAATGTAACTTATTACCCGACAACTTCAGAACCTATCAATACAAACATTAAACTGATACTATTTAAGGCTTGATCTCACTGAAGAACATGATCAAACAAAAGGCAACAACTCTCGGCCCCATAGCCACCCGAGGCTACGCGCGTTAGGCGCGGGCGTCGGCTGGGGGCCATTTCATCGACAATATTTCATTTTACTTGACAATTCTGAACTGATTGATCATGAAATAATATGAACTGAATATTTAGGCATCAATAGCTCAAGAGTTGCCGGGAAAAATCGAGAATTACTCGGTCATCATCTTACTTAAGTCTAAGCGAACATAGGCACGGTTTTATCACAAATTCTCGCAAGTTACTCGAACACTTAAACCCAATTTAACCCTATCTACTAAATTACCAGAGGAGGAGGAGGTTACCTCTGGGATTGCTCGACGGAAATCGGGAAATAGGTCGTGCCTCCTTGTCCTTGTGCTTGCCGTGCGATAACTATCTTGCCGTGCGATGTTTGATGGAAGATTAGGGTAATTGCTGGAACTTAATTGCTGCTGAGGGAGTTTCGAATAAGCTGAGTATCTCTTATGGGAGAAAAGGTGAAAATTTCATCCAACCTCCCCCCATTTATACCAAGGCCGTGAGATTAAGAGTGATGTGTGCTAAACGTGGTCTCCTATAAGCTTAACACTTGCTAGATAATTAGGCCCTTATTGATGACTAATATGCATCCTTTAATTGCCACGTTTATCCTCAAAAAGTGGAAGAAATTTGATTTTCCTTCCTCTTAAGAAGCTACAGCTTTAATTGTAATTGGGAAAATAATTCTTAAGGCATGATTTTATTTCCCTTAAGGAAAATTGAGTACGGCTTAGAACGTTGATGGTGATTAACTAATAAGTAATCACTTATCTTATGTTTCATTATTAAATTAAACTTAATACTTAATTACCAAAATTATTTCGAACGTAAACGGTACGTCAAAAATAGATTTCGGTAATCTCGACTGAACTTAATTTAATTCCGAAAATAATAACCGATAACACTTATTATATCGGAATTAAACGTAATTTATACCGATTAAAAATATCGGGTTATTACAATCCTCCCTCCTTACAAAATTTCCGTCCTCGGAAATTCAAAACATGACTGAAATACATGACTACTATACATGAACTATGTACATAAGATCATAGACTATGTACATCAAAACTGGAAATCTGGAAAACGAGCGCGAATGTCTGACTCTTCCTCCCAGGTAGCTCCGTGGCGATCCCACTGAATACGCACGAGAGGAATATCTCGCTTCCGGAGCCGACGGACCTGACGGTCTAGTACAGCTACCGGTCGCTCCTCGTACGATAAGTCTGGCTGAACCTGAATGTCCGTGTGAGGAATAACATGATCAGGGTCGCACACTTACTTACGCAACATAGATGCGTGAAATACATTATGAATGCCTGATAACTCGGGAGGTAGGGCTAGACGATACGCGACCTCGCCTACTCGTTCGAGAACCTCGAACAGACCTATGAAACGAGGGTGCAGCTTCCCTCTCTTGCCGAATCGCACTACTCCGCGAACCGGGCGAACTCTGAGAAAGGCGTGCTGGCCATCCTCAAACTGGATGTCTCGTCGATGATGATCGGCGGAAGATTTCTGTCGACTCTGGG